GCCTCACCAGTGCTGAGTTGAGACTTGTATTGAGAAGGAACATTGCAGGGAGGAGTAGACTGGAATAGATGTGATCCACACAAAGGGAGTCACTGTAGGACTGAGTGTCTGCAATTCCAGCATCCAGTTCTGAGCCTCTGCTCCTGGGCAGAGCTTGCTCCTAAGACATCAGTGTTGTGTGACTGGCACTGATCTTGATTGCTTCCTTGTAACTCCCACAGGAGGGAGAGTGGAAATAAAGATAAAATTCGAGGAGGAAGACAGAACAAACAGTAACTTGCTGGGAGAGCTCAGTAGTGTGGGTGTGTCTCAGCACACACAGACTGACTAGTGCACTCAGAGAGTCACAACTTGACACACTGGTGACAAAGCACACTGGCTCTTCATTTTGTACTTCCAGCATCCAGTTCTAGCTGGGCTTTGGAAATTTCAGGCAAATGACTGCATTCAGAGTACTCTGTCAGGACAAAGATGGAGTGCAGAAAACATGGACACACCTAGGGAACTCAAATACACAGAAATCAGGATTGTCACTCTCTGCAACACACCAGTCTCATGGTCTGGAAAACCACTATAATTTAACACACAGCTAGTTTTAAATCTAGATTGTAAAGAGATAAAAATCATGCAAAGCCCAATTACAATAACTCTGGAATACCATGTAGCCACTGGGCACTCCTCAAGCAACCAGGTCTCCTTTCCTTGAAGACTCAGCTTAGGTTATGTGGCCTCTGACCTGTTTTGGAACCAGTTGTATTTTTTAGCACTCAGATTTTAATACCTTATACCCATTCAGATGATTAATAATCTAAATCCATACTGAAGCACATAGAGAAATAGCTTTGATTGTTATGTACATGGTTTAAATGTGGTAAAAGGTGTTTCCCTGTCTTATCCTAACTTACTATCACTGTTGATAAAAATCTACTCAATGTAGCTAAATAAAACAGAGGAATGTGTTCAGGCTTGCTACATTCCTTTTCTTGGTACTCACAGAAATGTCTAATGTACAGCTGAGCCCAAGATCAGGGGAAGATCCAAATCAAAAGGCTGTTACTCCTCTATCCTTCACACTTAAATCCTTGTATTCAGGGCTAGGATAAAGCACTTCAGTGTCTATGGCTCTAATTTTAGGTTTGAAAGAAATGACAGTTCCTATCAGAACAAGCAGACTTGGAAGACTTACATGACCCAAAGGAGTAGAACTTCCTAATAAAACCACAGACAGTGAGCAACCCTGGCTATTTGGTGGTGAAGTTTCATCAGAACAACTAAAAAAAAAAGGTGCAATGCTTCCAAACTACAGTTCAGCTCCAATGAGAAGGTGCAGCATTTTCAACCACCACCTTCACATCAGCTTGCAAAGGTCCCACTGATCTCCCCAAATGCTCCAAGGCAAAGCTTCTATCTAAATCTAAAATAGGATTTGAAATGTGCAATGACTGCAGAAAGCAGAATGGTTTCCTTCACTTAGCTTGTCATAATCTGTAGCTAAGAGTGCAAAAGCACACTACAAACAAAGCCTGAGCAGGGGGATAATCCAATCAATTGACCTCTCTCAGTTCACTCAAAATCTGATGACCACTGACATCATGAGAGATTAAAGGAGAATTACAGGGCAGCAATATATTTCTGTAGGAGTAAATCTGCTTTTTGAAGGCCTCCTTTACAAACATTTGCTGAGGAGCCTCTGTGATAAGTGGAGCACACAGTGTGACTAGCAAGAGTGGCATTGAAACGATCACCTGGCAAAGATGACTTCTGCCAGTGTATGCAAAAATGCCTTTATCTGCTCGTGACTGACTGAAATGCAAAGGCAACTTACAAAAGGAATTAAAAATGCATCAGCAAACTAATGGAGAAAATAAGATATTGCTTAAATGAAGCCTCAGAAGGGCTTTGTCCATGTGCAAACTTTCATATTATCCAGAATAAAGCTATAAATCTTCACAACAAAGGCATGGTGCCTATTTCCTTTCTCCTCCTGACTCCTATCGTGTTTTTGGAAAGCAGATGATCATTATGGATCCACAGAGGGTGCAGCCCCCACTTTCAAACATGGTTGTTAATAGCAAATCACCCAACACACGACCTCTTTTTCCTCAGGATATCAATCCTGACCATGCAAAATCAAGTCATTTACCAAGGGGCCTAAATGTGGGTATTTGTGTTTGAGCACTGCTCAATTTACACAGTTTCCTCAGAGTCCTGCAGCAAATAAATGTCAGAGGGAAGAACAGGAGACAACTCCCACTAATAGTCTTGCCAGCCAGTGCACAGCCAACATCTAAGCTACAAGTGATATTATAAGAGGCTCTATCCAGGATCAGGTGCACTCAAGATGCAAATGGCTTTGGCTTCATTCTTTGTTTGGGATGTGACCCAGACCAGGCTGCAGTAGTGAGCAGGGGCTGTAGATCCCCTAAGCCCCCTCGTAAATCTGCTCATGGCAAAGAGTAAATTAAAGCATTAGGCCCATGCAACACACACACACATGCATTATTACAGCCTCCTGAACTTCCAGCAAGGCTGCTTTAATGAGGTCAGCAGCAACCCCCCTCATGCTGAGCTCAGGATGAGTAGACCCTCCTTTGGATAACTGATTTTATTTAAGATCACTCTGAAAGCTACAGAAAAGTGAACCACTTGGGCAGTTTAATGCTGTTCAACACAAGGCTTAGGCATGGCATCCATTTCAGCATTCAGCTGCAAAGTACCTTTCCAAAGCTGCACTGACCCTTCTCACCTCCTAGGTTTAATTTTGGAAGGCAGCAATATCATTTAAAAAATGTTCACTCGCTCATCTAGGCACCACAGTTCACCAGCTTTAATCAGCTACAGGATGATTTTTCTGGGGAGGGAATGGAGAATAGAAACCATGCTGGAAACTCCCCTAATGTTCTGATCTTTGACCCTTGCCATAATTGATTCTGAGAACCCCTGTGTGACACATGAACTGTGTAAAATGTGGTCAGAGGCTGTTTTTAGAGCCCCTCTGCCGTAATCATCCACTTTCAAATCCAGATTAAACTTCAATCTACAGAGGCATGAGCAGCCCTGAAAGCAGCAATGCAGATAAAGTTTGAATAGAAATGTGGCTCATTTGAATAGCTAATATTTGTAAGCAGCATCCTTCAACTTTGGCAAGAACAGACCTTTTGTTCTTCTGACTTACACAAGTGATTGATAGCTCATTAACAGCCTTGACAAAAACACACAGCAACAGCAGAACCATTAGAGAGTATAAAAGAAAAAGCACTTTGTCCCAGATCATCATTTTAGGGCAAGTAAAGGGACATTTCTGTGTTATGGCCTTATCTTGATTGCTCCAATCCAAGTATAGTTTATGAACGTGGAGTTGTAAACAGATATTCTGACTCCCTGTATGCATTACATACATTGTATTATGCAATATAATATAAAGACACAGTCAGGAAAAAGAAATATGGACTTCAAGGGAGAACTCTCCTTTTTCCCCTCCCTTACTTTCATATTACATGTAATTGTTTTCATCTACATTGTTCAGTAGTTCCAAAACTGCAGCACTGAACTCCCAGCAAGTGATCAGATGAGACTAGAATGAACTGCTCTGATAAAAGTAGTTGCAATGTTCAAAGACATTCAGGCCATCCTTTTTTAGAGAGCACAGCTTGATCCTTTTTTCCTTACTCAGCTGAAAGGACTCTTTTTCTAACAGGATTTTAGACCTAAATCTGCCATTGTATGACCCAAACATTGTTTATCTACCAATAAGAGCAATTTCATTCTCCAGGCTGCAAGGAGCTAAGAAGAACTAAAGGCAAGTGGGACCTGAAGCTAAAGAAAACCTTTGCTAACTACTGTGTTTCCAGCATCTGTGTACCAGAGGACATGATGTGGCATGGAAGACCATCATATTGCTTCAAGGGAATATCTTTGAAGAACATAAGGGATTCTTCTACCAGGATGCAAGAAAGATTGATAATTCTACAGTAATATGGTTTCTATTTCATAGAATCATAGAATCAACCGAGTTGGAAAAGACCTCCAAGACCATCAAGTCCAATCCCACTGTGCCTACTAGACCATGGCACTAAGTGCCCCATCCAGTCTCAGCTTGAAAACCTTCAGGGACGGTGAATCCACCACCTCCCTGGGCAGCACATTCCAATGTCTGAGCACTCTCTCTGTAAAAAATCTCTTCCTAATATCCAACCTAAACCTCCCCTGGCAGAGTTTGAGTTGGCAGAGACAAACCTCCACTTGACTCCAACCTCCTTTCAGGGAGCTGTAGAGGGTGATAAGGTCTCCCCTGAGCCTCCTCTTTTCAGCTCTGTGGTATCCACGACAGATCAACACTGACTTGTTTTTATTATATGTGATGCATTTTATTTACCATGCTGTGTTGGAGATAAAAGTACATCCTTCCAGTAGGAAAACGTAGGATCATCAAATGGATCCACCAATCAAAACGATATGCCAAAGCTCCAACATTTATGCAGCCAATATTGACAGAGTAAAACTGATTCCTTTCCCCTGCCTGTTACCCCAAGCCTTTTTTTTCAACTTGTGCTTCAGTCTAACACAGTTTAGATTCTTTCTTGCAACTTCTTCCAAACAGGGTATGAGTTTTCGGGATTTCTTCTGCAACTGCATGTAATAGCTAAGAAGGAGCGTCAAGACTTCTGGAAAGATTTCTTTAGCTAGAGACACAGGAGCAGAGACTTACCAAAGCACATCAGCAAGAGTAAAGGAACAGAAAACACTTCTTAGGTAAGTAGGGAGGTTTGAAAAGGGTGAAGATGGGAAGTGTTGAATATTTGAAGTGATATGGGCAGAAAGCAGAATGAGAATGAATTTCAGGTCCTAAAGATCCCCAACAAAGCTGAGAGGATGGAAGAAGAAAGAAAGGAGAAGACAAAGAAAGGTCTCTTCTTCTCACTGTGATCTTGGTTTTAAAGAAGATGTAAGTGGAGGGTTGTAGTCTTAGCTCCAAGGAAAATTTCCAAGCATAAGATAAAATACTCTGAGTTGACTCTTTGCTCACTGGAGTGATGAAAAATCCAAACACACTGAAGAGGCAAGAGATCCAATGGGTCTTCTCACTAAGAGCTCCTATTCCTCCTTTATTCCCCTGCAGAGCTGAGGAACACACCTCAGCCAATCACTTCAGGTAGTTTAGCTTTTAAAGCCCAAGTGATGGAAATATTCTCGGGTTTTAAAATTAGGGACTACAGACAAGAAAATGTATCTTACCCTTTTCTGTCTCCCTCCAAATAGTAGAACCCTTTGCTGCCTCCCAGAAGGCTTAATTTTGGCCATTTCAACATCTCCAAAGGACCAGAGACCTCCCACTCACCACCATCACTCCCAGAAACACCTCATTGCTGAGCTTTAGGGTGTCAGAAGATTTTTAACATGTTAACCCATGGATTTATAAAGATCTCTACATTCAGCCCCACCAAATGTCAAGAGGACTTGAAAATACTTGTCCTGAGGACCAATTACTGTCATAACATTTCATAAAGCAAAAAGGGTCACTGTGCTCCAAAAAAAAAGAGGTAGAAGAATGGAATTGCCTATCATATTGAAGAGTAAAAACCAGAGGGAATGAGCTGGATCACTTGGGAAAAAACACTGATTGTCATAACAACCACAGTAATATCACACATTGCAACCAGTGAACATAGTCCTAACTTGCCAGAGAGGGGAAAGGGATCAGTCTGGGCAATTAGAAACCAGGAAAATGACTTGGGATCAGGAGTTCCCAAAGAAGAGTTAACAACATCTTTGCCTATAAAACAGAATAACTTCAGGTAAGAGCAGAGAGATGAAGCCACCACTCCATCAGGTGCTAGACTGGGACCAAAACAGTATGTGCCATTGTGGTTTTCAGAGGTTAGAAGGGAAATGGATAAATGGGAGTGGGTTAAAGAAGCACTCCTAGAATAATTCAGTGAAAGCTTCCTGTACACTGAAGGGCTCAAGGTCTTCCAGTGGTTTAGCTTAACAACCAGAAAGTTCTTCCAAGATGTGGCTTGATCAGTGGTGCTAAGAAAAGTATTTGCCATAATGAACTTTAGGCATATTATTTAGGTTCTTTTAAACACAATATGCAATGACTGGAAGGTGACTCTGCACACACACAGATGAGAAGCAATGTGTATATTTTTATGGCAAGGAAATGAACCAGTAAATCAAAAGTTGTGAGCTCCTATAAATGGAAAGATTTTCATAAGAAGCAAGTTTTTCTCATTTATATCCTAATTGGAACAATAATTAATTCAGAAAAGTTCAACAGAGTGTATTAAACAAGAAAAAAAAAGGTTAGATGGCTTTTTAATCTTTGAATCACTCTGGTTTCTTGACCAACTTCATAATTGTTCCCCAGCAGAGTAAGTTCACATTGCTGATTGCAGGAGGCAATTGCATTATGACTGGTTTCCTTGCTTTGCTCAGAGCAGTTCACTTTGTTTAACAGCTGCCTCATTAGCCTGTTGCTTAAACAATAAACTGCAGCAATACATTGTTAGAAAGCTGGAAAAAACTCTAATTGAGAATATATTTTGTCCACTGTATTACATATAGAGATCAAAGTACTTTGCCTCCTCAAGTTTTGCCGTAACATAAAGAATTCCAGTGGTTGAGTCAGAAGAAATGATCCAGAATGGAGGTGTTCACTCAGCAGAAACCAGTGTGGGTTCACTCCCAACACACACCTCCTCACCAGGGCTGGGTGAACAGTTCCAAGATGTCTGGAATAATCTGAACACCTTAAAAGCTTTCTGTTTATGCTTGGTTAGGTTTGGGTCCTGCTTTTGTTTCTGAAAAACAGAACTCCAACCGCCTTAGAGAAACACTGGGGAGGCTGTTTGTTTTTTAAAGTGCAGAGGGTTACTTACTGTGCTGGTTGGAAATAAAACCTCCCTGCTTTGATGTTTTCTTACCCATGTCTTCCACCTCCAAACTGATGAGGCATAATAGCCTAATCAACTACTTATCTGGACTTCACCAGTAAGAACATGTGCAGTAAGATGATTCTGAACTCAAGCTGAACTGGGCTACTGTGTCTTCATCGAGGTCTGGATCCTGCTAACTTAATGTGGAGTGACTGCTGAGGGGAGAGCCAGTGAAGAGAAATCAGCTCTGACAGAAAGAAGTCTGATGTTAAATAAATAAATGGCATGATTTGTGGCAGAAATGGCGAGGCAGGGGCAGAGGTGTTGCTGGAAGGGCTGCAGCAACCCTACTGCAGGTGCAAGGGCACAAAGCAGCATGGGAATGCTGGCTGAGAGCAAATGTGCAGATCCCTGTCTTTCTGAGAAACTCATGAAGCAATCCTGACCTACACTCAGAGATGATCAGAGAATTGGGGAAGGTGGTGGAGTAAAGGGCATATATTTCATAAACAGGAGAGATTAGAGCAGGCTAACAACACGCACATCTTTCCCACGACACACCACATGGCTCTGGATAAGAAGCAATACATTATACCCATGCCTAAAAAAGAAGATTCTCCAGAAATGAGGTCAACTGCCTTGATCTCACATTCACCAGAGAAAAGCTGCAACAAAGCAAGCAGATTCTTTGGTGGTAGTGTGAATTTACAGAGCAGGAGTGGCTCACTTGTGATTACTCTCCCAGTAAAAGTACAGCCAGAGTTATAACAGTCATGCACAAATGAGAATGTGCAAATATCTCCATTAGCTCTTTAAAAATAATTAAAAAGAAAGGAAAAGGAGTGATGCATTAATTGAGGGTTATGAAAATGGTAGTTTTCTAGATGGAGTTAAGTAAGGAGAAATCATAAGTCACACTATATAGCAACAAAAAACCCAGTTAATACGGTGCATGTATGGAGAAGGTTCAAGATTCTTACCAAAATCAGCTCATCATTAGCTAATTCTCGAGTCCAGTATGTTTTGGGGCCATCTCCCTCAATGAGAGTTTGTTTGCAATAGATCTTGTTTTCGTTCTCCCAAGTGGCCAAACTCTGCGGGTGAGAAAACCATTAGGAAACACATCAATTATATTCCCCAGCAGCATGAGACAGAGAGACAACAATGAGCAGGAGCTACAGGAATTGCTGCAGCAAAGGAGCAACACAGAGATAGACACAGGCAAAGGGAAAAAGACATCAGTGGAAAGTGGTGAAATCAGAATTAAGTTGGAAAGAGTCAAATATCAGTAACAAAGTAATGGTAAATGTGTTTTTGCAGGATGCAGCCACCCAGTTTTCACACAATGTTTGTTGCTAAAAAGTGTCACTTAGAAATACGGTGATGGAGTATCTACACTGCCAAGCCTCTCTGTACCCATGTGATTTGATCTGACCTGTTATGGATCACTACAGAGTCCTCTTGGTGTAAAAGCATAAACAATCCCATAGATCATGTTGGGCTGATAAATAATGCAGTGTTTGTCACTAGGAATCCTTCCTGCTCTGTGGCACTGTGCCAAGTTAACTGCATGTTAAACACTGTGCTAACAAACTAGAGTAAATCACAGCTAAATGAAAGAAACTTCGTTAGGATTTCAGTGTTCGTGATGCTACTTTTTCAAGGTTGTGGCTCTGGAGATTGAAATAACCTTGGGCATTTTTCTGTGTATTTCAATCCTGACTATGAACCTCCTGAAAAAGAAAAGAACCCCAAAGGATAGGGTTTTGTTTAACTTTCCCAAACAGCAAACCCTGACTCTGTTGCTTTTCATTCTAGCACTGAACTATTATTCCACAGTGCAATGGAACAGCTGTGCTGAAGGATGTCCTGTAACAAATGTGCAAGTAATTGCTTTATAACTACACAGGGGAGACATTCATTAGTCTGTGATTATACACACATACGTGTATATGTTTGGCTAAATTCAAGTTAGCACTTCTCAGACTTTCCAAGGGAAAAATAACTTTACTTTGATTTAAAATTAGCTGTTTACTTGGTCAATATTGCTCAAACCAATGGGTTTTATAAGCCCACACAGCTGTTTACTTGATCAATATTGTTCAAACCAATGGGTTTTATAAGCCCACAAGCCATCTCAAATGGAAGCTATGCCTTGCAGAACAACTCCATATGATTCCCTCTTTGTTCGTATGAACGATGGATCAAGTTAGTTGGCAGAACAAAAACCCTCAACCCCATAAAGTATCTCAAAATCTATCACCAGTCAGCAATTTTGCCAGATATTGCAAATTACATTCTGGAGTAGGATTTTATTATCTGTCAGTTTCTGCTCTGTGGCCACAGTTTGGTTCTACAGACACAGCACTCCAACCTACTCCTGAGAGTGGACTATAAATAATGGCACAACACATGGAAAAAATTTACTACTACTTCACAAAACACATTTCTTTCAGGTTTTTCCAACTTTCATAGCTTACACCCATAATTACTGGTTTTCCATCTGCAGCAATAAATCCTTCCCTAGAAAGCAGGTCAGATTTATGGTATGTGCATTATGCATGAAGACACTAAAATACTACTTTTTCTGAACAAGATAAATGAAAAAAGCCAACAACATTTCCTGAACAAACTGTTAAATGTATGATAACTCATCCTGGAGATCAAATGGATGTTGGAAATGTTCACTGACTCCCAGGACCTGCTTCCTGTTCTCATAAATTTCAGTTCATAGATTGCATCAAAGGCAGTAGGTTCTGAATTTTTAGGAGTGCAAACTGTCTTAGAATCTGGCCCAGGAATTAGGAGACATCATATTTGGAGAGTAAATCATTTCACCATCACTGGACACTTTTAAAATTGGATCCTTATTTGAGACTACATTCTGATACTCATACTTCTTTTATAAGAGTTTTATATGTACTTCTTTCATAAGTGTGAGAGTCAAGTACCCACGGAAAGCATAATTAACCCATGCCTTTGATAACTCTTCTCCAAAGACAGCTCTGACCACAGCCCAGCTCCCCAATACTTCAAATCCCATGTATCTACACCAAATAATGCTGAGTTAACTCCTCCTCCATGGCCACAGAAGTGGTTACAAAAGTGGAAGAGCAGGTATCACATGGAATCAAGCTCAGCTCACATCAGTGAATACCCTCTAAGGCACTTCTGCTCAAGGAGATGGTGCAGCTACGGGTGGTATAATACCAGCTGAAAGTCTGTGTCACTGTTAAAGAGTTACCTGACCAGCAAACTGGACACATGCACTTGCAAGGGCATGAAAGAAGATTTCAGCCCCAAACTACCAACAGTCTGCAGTTCTGCATGTGAACTCAGCTGATTCAATTAAGGACAAAAGTTATGTCGTGTTTGTGCACTAAAACCTGACTCTTGAGGTCTCCCTTGCTCCACCATTTCTCTTGTTTCTGTCAGAGACAGAGCATAGGGAGAGCTTTCACTGCAGCTGAGGTCTCCAGGGGAGAGGAAAGCAAAAAGAGCAGGACAAAACGCTCTGGCAAACAGGTTACTCAAACTCTGCTTTTGGCACCTGTCATTCTCTGTTGCCTTCAGATTTCAGTTTTAACCTGCAATGGGGAGAAAGTTGTACAAGGGACAAGAGGAGTGGTGACCAGCAAGAACCCCCAGAGTGCTTCTGGCAAGAAGAGTGGCAATTCCACTGTCTGGGCACACTGGCAGCAGATGTGTTTGTCCCATCTAAAAAGAGCTCGGTAACACGCACACACACACAGACACAGCATCTCTCCTCCTACCCTGCACTTTCGTCCATCCACCGTCTCCTCCTCGAAGCTCTCTCCGATTTTGAAGTTGATCTCAGTGGTGCGGACAGTGGTAGAAGTTTTGATGTAGAACTGGTCCCCGTCCTGGCGGATCTCCACGTGGGGTTTGGAGGCAGCTGCCACCGCCACCTTCCTGAGCATGGCATTGACACCTGGGCCAAGAGGGCGAGAAGCAGAGCTTGAGGTGGCCAGCAGTGCCCTGCGCTGAGCTCGCCGCGCATCCCGCGGGGCGACAGGAGCTCTGCGGCACCGCGAGCCAAGGAGCTCCGGCGGCTCCAGGGGA